GGCTCATGCTCGACTGTGCGGCACAGTGTGCGCTGGGCCCCGCGCCCCCGCGCGTGTCTCGCGCCATCAGCGCAATCAGCGGTTTTTGCGAGTCGTGGTCCGAACAGCCCCTCCCCTCCCCCCCTCCTCCCTGGCACTGCCCCGCGGTTGCTCGGGTGGGTTATTTATTTGTATCCAAAGAGACGATAGCAGAGATAAATAAACGTGTATTTCACTATGTACAGGAAAGAGAGGAGTTATCAGACTAGGTGGGCACCTCGCAGGTGGGCAGGTTGACGACGAAGAAGACGTTGAGCTCGATGAGGGAGGCGAACACGAGGTAGGCGGCGTAGAGGGTCAGGCAGGTGAGGCCCACCCGCCAGTCCAGCCGGAAGCGGCTGCAGAGGAACGTGGCGTACAGCGCGAACAGCGTGGACAGCAGCGAGATGGCCGAGTAGGCCAGTCCCCGGGAGTTGATGATGACGCCGTGGTCGTTGGGCACGACGGGGAAGAAGGCCGCCTTGACGAGCCACGGCAGGCCGAGGCACAGCAGGATGTCGAACACGTTGGAGCCCAGCGAGTTGCTGATGCCCATGGCGCCGTGGCCCTGCTTGGTCACGATCACGCTGGACACGGCCTCGGGCACGCTCATGCCGGCCGCCAGGAACGTCAGCCCCATGACCGAGTCCGGGATCTGCAGCGTGTCACCTGTGGAGCAGTCCGCGGGGTGAGCGAGACCAGCGAGACCGAGGGCAGCGCCGGCGTGCCAGGGAGCGGACGCTTACCTATGGCGGTGATCATCCAGGCCACCACGTAGGACGTGAGCGCGATCCACACGATGCACGTGAGGAAGGTGACGGGGTACCAGCTCTTCCAGCGCTCCACGCGGCAGTCGGGCACGGTGAGGTACAGCACGAGGGAGATGGGCCAGATGAGGACCCACCAGGCGCGCTCCCAGCGGCCGCAGTCCTTGGGCCAGGCGGACAGCGACAGGTCTGTGGGCGAGGGGTGCGGGGTGAGAGGGAGCCCTTCAGTGCAACACGGTGCGACGACCGATGCTCATGTTAGACGTACCTGAAATGTCGTCTTCGTCGGCAAAGGCCTGTTTCCCCTCTTCTACGTCGTCTCTGCCTTCGTCACCGCCGCCTAGGACAATTAAGGGTGAGTCACACGAAACCCCTGTATTCCCCCATTTATTTGCTACTCTTTGGACCAACCCAGCGAGTATCTGCTGGAAGCGGGCCAAGTGAGTGAAGGCGACGAGTCAAATGGTTTGATGACTCACCACTCTTGAGCAGCGGACTGTTTTCTCCAGGCTCGTTTGAGGAGTTTGTGCGGATCCCTTTCCACAAGCCTTTGGCCCTCTTGCTCATGGTCGTGTTGTAACACATGGCTGCAACGAACA